GTTTATTTTTTTGATTTGAATATAATTCTCAGAATTATTATAATCCAAATATATTATAAATCAGATATCTATAGTCTATAAAAATGTCCCTCCCTAGGGACCCAGCCTCATTGTAAGTATTTTCTTTAGCAAAAATAATTTTGTGATTTAAAGCATTCTTTCCACTTCTGTCCATTAGATAATTTAATATGAGCTATAAAATTAAATTTTAATTACTAAAGCCAGTAATTGTTAACATAGTTCGTTATGTACAGTTTCTCTCCACAGCCTCCTCCCGCCGACATATCCTGGGGGGTGGCGGTGTTGATTGGCATGTCTCAGTTCAGAATCACATCAGAGTTCCTGATTACCATAGATTACTGATAATCCTGTATCTGTTTTAAAAATAAAAGCATGTTGTTTGAACAAGAATTGTAACATTCAAAATTAGATTGTTTAGTAAATACCTTCTATGTGCTGGACCCTAAAAATACAGGAGTGAACAAAAACAGATGAAGGCCCTTTTTCATTGAGCTGACATTCTATTGTGAAAGACAGCCAATCAATAAACAATAAGGCAGGGAGAGTGTCTTTAAAACTACATATGTAAGGCTGGGCGAGGTGGCTCACGCCTGTAATCCTAGCACTCTGGGAGGCCGAGGTGAGTGGATTGCTCAAGGTCAGGAGTTCGAAACCAGCCTGAGCAAGAGCGAGACCCCATCTCTACTAAAAATATAAAGAAATTAATTGGCCAACTAATATATGTAGAAAAAATTAGCCAGGCATGGTGGCGCATGCCTGTAGTCCCAGCTACTCGGGAGGCTGAGGCAGTAGGATCGCTTGAGCCCAAGAATTTGAGGTTGCTGTGAGCTGGGCTGAAGCTACAGCACTCACTCTAGCCTGGGCAACAAAGTGAGACTCTGTCTCAAAAAAAAAAAAAAAAAAAAAAAAAAAAAAAAACTACATATGTAAAAATAGACTACCAAATAGGTAAGAAACAAAAAATTTTAATTAATAAACTGTACATAAGCTGAAAAATTGCAAGGATAATTTTATTTGCTTAATTTGTTCATTATACAACAAAAGTAATACAGTGTATATAAATGTCAAAAACACTGAACATTAAAAGAAGTATAAAATGAAAATTGAGTCTTCCCCTTTCCCTCCATTTTCACTCTTTAGTAGTAATTCCTTTTAATTATACTTTGTAGATTGATTAAGAAAAGAGATCTATCTATCTATACATATGTGTCTCCAATTATTAAACAAAAAGAAAGAAAATTATCACTGGCATCATATTAAACATACTGTGCAGCAACTAGCTTTTTTTTTTTCCTGTAAAGACAAATTTATAAGGTGAAGTGTGGTGGCTTGTGCCTGTAATCTCAACATTTTGGGAGGCTGAGGCAGAAAGATCGCTTGAGGCCAGAGTTGAAGACCAGCCTGGGCAACATAGTCAGACCTCACCTCTATGAAAAATAATAATAAAACTGATGTAAAATATTCTTCAAAATGAGTATGCTTTTAGCTTTTTACTATATTTGAAACTTTTCTAGGAGTATATATACATTAAGTATGTAATTAATGTACTTTATGGAGACTATTAACGAACTTCAAATCCCAAAATTATCAATAAATTGGTAATAGTAATTTGACATTAGTGTAGATAAAATTAAGTTTGTGATTTCCACAATATTTGGGTTACAGATTTTGATTTGAGACAGTCTCACTCTGTTGCCTGGGCTAGAGTGCCGTGGTGTCAGCCTAGCTCACAGCAACCTCAAACTCCTGGGCTCAAGCAATCCTTCTGCCTCAGCCTCCCGAGTAGCTGGGACTACAGGCATGTGTCACTATGCCCAGCTAATTTTTTTGTATATTTTTAGTTGTCCAGCTAATTTCTTTCCATTTTTAGTAGAGATGGGGTCTTGCTCTTTCTCATGCTGGTCTGGAACTCCTGAGCTCAAATGATCCGCCCACCTTGGCCTCCCAGAGTGCTAGGATTACAGGCATGAGCCACCGCACCTGGCCAGGTTACAGATTCTTAAGACTATGCTGATGACTGACAAAATTGAAGAATTGTGGCATATCATAGGTTCATTTTATGAAATTGTAGAGGACAAAAAGTGGCAGGGGTTCTATGTATCCTCAGGTTGGACTGTTTTACCTTTTTTCAATTCATCAACTGATACATTTTGTATGCATTAACATTTATATGTCTAATTTTTTTTTTATTTCCGCATGTTAGTCCGACTGGGGATAATCTCTAAATATTTAGAAGGTAAGAATAAAGAAATCCATTAAAAATTTCTTTAAATTTATGTGCCAGAAGAATTCTACACAAATTTATAGAACTTATAATCTTGTCACCCAGTAGTTTTTATTCTAAGCAAACACATAGTATGAAGTTCCAAAATATTATAAAACTTTACATTTTTAACCAGTAAGTGTTAAGTTATTAATGCCAGGTGATTCACTTAGTATATACAAAATTATAACAGAATTCATGGTTATATTCTAATAGATTATATTTTCTATTTTGCTTTATGAATTATATTAATATTACCATGGATTAAATGATTTTCTAGCTAATTTAAAAATGGATATCTATACAGTTTGGCTTAAATATAGCATAGCAAGCTAAAACAAGACAGTGAATTCACTTAGTTTGGTTTTTATTTTTTAGAGTATTGTATTCATGTTCTCAGTACAGTAGTAAAAGAGTTATGTTTTACATACTAGCAGGAGTTGAATGAAATGCAAGATTTGCTGGTATTAACCGTGAACATTTGCTCTTTAATTTTTTTTAGAAAGCACAGTGAAAGGACACCACAAGAGTAAATTTAAATCAAAAGTGTCTGGGGGATGGTCACGCTTGAAGCTCTGATTCAAGGGGGCAAGGGGGACAATGGCAATATAGGTAACCTTAACATTTGTACCTCCATAATATGCTGAAATAAAAAAAAAAAAGAAAAAAATTGTATGCACTTTAAATAAAAATCAGCCTAGCATCCATTTTTTTCTTTTCTGGGCATCCCTGTTTACAAAGCATTTTTTAATAATTGACAGAGGCTGGGCGTGGTGGCTCATGCGTGTAATCCTAGCACTCTGGGAGGCTGAGGTGGGCGGATTGTTTGAGCTCAGGAGTTTGAGACCACCCTGAGCAAGAGTGAGACCCCGTCTCTACTAAAAAATAGAAAGAAATTAATTGGCCAACTAAAAATACATATATAAAAAAATTAGCCGGGCATGGTGGCACATGCCTGTAGTCCCAGCTACTCGGGAGGCTGAGACAGGAGGATCGCTTGAGCCCAGGAGATTGAGGTTGCCGTGAGCTAGGCTGATGCCACAGCACTCTAGCCCAGGCAACAGAGTAATACTATGTCTCAAAAAAATAAATAAATAAAAATTAAAAAATAATAATTGACAGAAATTACAGCGTTTTAGAACAGTAATTTTCCTCTACTGTAATACGGCCTTGTAGTTTGTGCCTGTCATGGTAGTAAACCGGGCACAATTGATGATGACTGCTTGCAGGGCATAACACCGTACCACACCATTCTGTACCTGATTTGGTTAGGGGAGTGAAATAATAACCTTGTAAACTAAACTATCATTCAGAAATAAAGATCTTTCCAGATGAAATCTGAGAGTGTTTATCCACACTAGACCTGCCTCTCAGGGATGAGTAAAGGGGTTTTTTAAATTGAAAAATGTATATGGTAAAAGCAGTATGATGGCATATAAACATATAAATATCCCTTTTAAATATATAGTCAAATACAAAATATAATACTGCAATGATGACATGTACACTGCTTATGATTCTGGTATACTTCAAAAGACAAAAGTATATCCACAAAAATCTGTTATTTGGACACAATATAAAATGATGTAAACTGAAATCAAAACAAAGTGTTGCGGGGAGTAAAAGTGCATAGACTTTGTATGCAAAATTAAGTTGTCTGCTTAAAATAGACTTTTATGAGATGTTTTATTAAACCTCACAGTAACGACTAAATAAAAATTTATGCTAGATACACAAAGGGTAAAGAGAAATGAACAAAAGCATAATACTACAAAAAACGTCAAGTCACAAAAGAAGACAACCAGAGAAAAGAAAGCAATAAATGATCTACAAAACAGCCAGAACTCAATTAACAAAACAGAACTAGTAAGATCTTGCCTATCAACAATTCCTTAAAGGTAAATGGACTAAATTACTCAATCAAAAGACATGGAGTGGGTCAACAGATTACAGAACGAACAACGAAACAGACAGCTATAAGCTGCCTTTAAGAGATGTGCTTCATCTTTAATAAGCACCCACAGGCTGAAAGTGAAGGAATGGAGAAAACGTCATGACCAGCAAGCTTAACCACATAATATATATACGGTAAATGTCGTTTTAATAGCCTGTAGTGGACTGTTAAAAATATAAATAAATAAATAAAATAAATAATAATAGCCTGTAGTGTCACCTACGTATTATTCTGAAGACAAGGCTCTAAAACCGGAATATCCGTGAGAAAAAAAAAAGAATAATAAAATTGGATTGGCATGTATTCCCACAGGGCCATCCAGCTTGGCTTCTGAAGAGCAGCCCTGGGCTTCATATGTAGCTAAATCCAGAGACCCACGTTGCCCAGAAGAAGGGGAGACGCGTAAGAAGAAAGTCGCTCAGCCCGTGGCCACCACGCGGAAGGGCCTGAGGCGGCCGCGGCGGGTGGGGCGGGGCGCGGAGCGGGTGGGCGCCGGGCGGGCGGGGCGTCGGCGCGGGCCAGAGGGGGAGGGGCGGACGGAGGCGCACTGGCCAGGGCTGTGCCTCGCCCTCCAGGGCGCGCAGGTCGGCGCAGTGGCCAGCGAGTGCCGGGCTGGCTCACGCGCTCGGGCAGGGCGAGCGGCGCAACGGCCGCCGGCCACCCGCGTCCGCTCACGCCGCGGCGCCACCCGCGTTCTGGCCTCACGCCGCCGGCCACCCGCGTTCCGGCCACCCGCCGCCGGCCACCCGCCCGCCCGCGAACGTCGGTTAGGGGCCGCCGGTCTGCGGAGCCCTGCGCCCCGCCCAGCGCGGCCCACGCGAGGCCCAGCGGAGCCGCGTTCCTGCCCCGAGGTGGCGCGGCCCGGACACCGCAGGTGCTGCCTGGGCTCCTGCCTCTCTCGCCTGGTTTAAGGTACGTTCCGTGGTTCCAGCTGATTTCTCCAGAAACGATGACAGATGGCGGCACGGAAATGTTTCTTTAAGAAAAACTTTTAAATTATCCCCCACGAGGCACACACTGAATGAAGAAGGCTCTGTTCCCCATTCCTGCAGTTTCGGGGTGGTGACTTCCACCGTCCGGACGCGGGACACGGGCTATTCCCGTCCTGGAAACGGCGAGAAGCCTCAGTGTTCCCAGGTGCGGGAGGAGACCCCGCGGCTTCCTGTCGCTACCGCTACCAACCGCCGCTGCCCCCGCACGGCACGCCCGGTGGCCTCGGGCGCTGCGCCCGCGAACGCCAGCGCCAGCAACGGGCCGCCCCGCGCGGATCCCTCGCTCCGCGGCTGCGAGGGCGCAGAGCTGCCGTGCGGGTAAGGCTCGGCAGAGGCGGAGGCAGCGGGAGCCCAGTTCGTCCCTCCGTCCCTCCGTCCCTTTCCTCCTCCCGGAGAAGCAGCCGAGCGGCTGCAGCTCCATGCGCGGCGACAGCCAGCATCTCCACCCCGGCGCCCCTCCTCATTCGGGCCGGGAGCAGCCGGCGCAGCTGGAGACAGAAGTAAACCCTCCCCGCCCAGAGCCCCGCGCCCGCAGCCCACGGGGCGGTCTCCGGCCTGCTTCGCCCGGAGCAGTCAGCTGAGCCCCTGTGCGCCCCAGCATCCCGCCGCCTGCGGCCGGTCTGTCGGGCCCAGCGCCGGGGCCGCGCGTCCCAGGCCGAAGGCAGCACGGCCGGGCTCCGCCGGGCGCTGGGACAGGCCGAGCCGCAGCTCTGCCTCCTTGGGCGGGCTGGGCGGCCGGGGAATGGGATCGGCGCCGCCAGCACACTACGCCTAGCGACCGCAAGGGAGAAAGTTCGGCGTGGGTGGTTCCCCTAGTCCTATCCCGGTTTTGGTGGCCTCCGGGGGGAGGAGAGCCCAGCGGCTCAGTCCTTGTGGGGCGAGGGGGCGGCTCGCTCCCAACGTGGTACCCGGCCCCCAAAACTTCTCGGGTCTAGGGGGAAGCCCCGGGATGGGACCCCCCCAGTGACCAGCGGGTCGCCGGCCGGGGGCGGAAGGGAGGGGCGCTCACCTCCGTGCGGCTTCTCCTGGCGGCTCGGGCCCCCAAGCGCGGGACAGGGGACGCGGTGGCGCTCAGCGGGCCTGGGGGAGCTGGGAGCCCGGGTCGCGGCCCATGCGGTCGGGGCGGCGGGCGCCGCGGGTCAGGGTCGCTGCAGCCCCCGCTGCTGCTGTCCCCAGTGTCGGCTTGCGGAGGACTGCGCGCCCAGCCGAAGTGCCCCGCGTGCTGCTGATTAATTAATATGGACTTGGCAGGGAGCCAGGCTGCGCGGGCAGCTAGCGCGCAAGAGACGAAGCGGAGGATCTCCGGACGGGAGGGCGGCTGGGGCGGAGGTTCGGAGGAGGCGTATTCCTAAGTGGGACCAGAAAGCGGGGAGGGGAGCCAGGTGCGGAAGAGGGGTCCAGCTGGAGGAGCCTCCGAGCATGGAGAGATCGGGGAAGGGGAAGGGTCCGGTGGAGTCCTCCCCGCCGCTACCTGCGTGTTCTCGAGCCGCCGCAGTCCGGGCAAGAAGGGACTCGGGGAGCGCTCGAGCTGGGCGGTGCTGCCACACGCTGCTCGTCCTCGAGAATGTGGTTTGCCTACTCCGGTGCTCCTCGGCCCTTCAGGGGCCCTGAGGGTGGCAGACGGGCGTGGCTTGTGGGCGGCGGAGACCTGGGGTCACTGCTGTAGGGGGCGAGGATGGCCGAATAGGGTGAGGGGCAGTGCACAGGGCTGGACGTGCCAAGGCGCGGGTCTCCGTGCGACCCTTCTCCGAGGGCCTGGGCTGATCATCCCTCAGCCGGCCGGGCTCGGGCACCGGATGCCCTTTGCTCGACAGGGGTGGGAGGTTGGGGCCTCGTGGCTCACCCAGCTCCCCTCCCAGGTCTGGCTGTGCCCTGGGGAGGCAGCGCGACTTCTGGAGCCGTTCTGGAGCTGTGCCTAGAGCGTGGGCTGTGGCTTTAAGGCCTGGAGCTGGGGCTAGCGTTGCCCTGGGCAACAGGGAGATTGGGCGAGGCCACCCATTGGCACTCCTTAGTCTCCACACCCAGCAGACTTCACCTGGTTCTGGAGAGTGCGCAGGGACAAGGCCAGAGAGGCTTCAGAGGCCCTCCCTGCGCGGGAGAATCTCTGAGGGTAAGGTGCCCAGGCACAGTGTGGACTGGCAAAGTGGCCCTGGCTGGGCTCTACCTATTTGTACACAGGAATATGTTATGAATTAGTAGCGTGTTAAAGGCCATCTAGTCCGGAGCTTGACTCCTGTCTAGAACGGTGCTGCACGTGATTGAAAATGTGCCTCTCCGGTTCTTCTTCTAATACCTCTTCCAAGGAAGGATTCCTTAAATGTTCGGGGCTTTCTATGATCTCTCATACTTTCAAATAATTTCTTCAAAAGGCATACTATCCTTAGCTCCTTCTCTTGCTGAATGTATAATACTTTCACATGACCCACTGCCACTCGGTTATCCTCTTCTTTATACTCTCCAATTTGTATACACGGCTCTTAAAATGTGACATTCAAAGTGGAATGCAAATTGTACGTTGTTGATTCATGTAAGGAGGCACCGATACAATTTTATGACTTAAAATTGTCATAATTTTAAAATTGACTTAGTGAAGCAATGGAGACTCAAATGTCAAAAACAATGAAAATAATGTTGCAGAGGCACAACAAAATTCAAATGATATTATAAATATGCTCTTTACATTTAGGATTTCAAACAGTATATTAAATTTAAAAATTCACAAAACATGCCCTGTACATTTTACAGTCAGTCTTATTTATTTATTTATTTATTTTGAGACAGTCTCACTCAGTTGCCTGGGCTAGGGTGCAGTGGCGTTAGCCTAGCTCACAGCAACCTCAAACTCCTGGGCTCAAGCCATCCTCCTGCCTCAGCCTCCCAAGTAGCTGGGACTACAGGCATGTGCCACTATGCCCAGCTAATTTTTTCCATATATTTTCAGTTGGCCAATTAATTTCTTTCTATTTTTAGTAGAGACGGGGGGTCTCACTCTTGCTCAAGCTGGTCTCAAACTCCTGACCTTGAGCGATCCCCCTGGGTTGGCCTCCCAGAGTGCTAGGATTACAGGTGTGACACACCCACACTCAGCCTACAGTCAGTCTTGATATTACTTTTATCTACATGCACAGTTGTGAGATGAGAGAAAGAAATCCTTATTACTTACTGCTGCTATGACAAAATTTTAAAAAAATCAATGAAGAATGATTCAAAGGACAGGGCCAGAAGTTTAAAAAACATAACAAAAATTAAAAGTAAATGTGCTTTCAGGCTGAGGCGGGCGGATCGCTCAAGGTCAGGAGTTTGAAACCAGCCTGAGCAAGAGCGAGACCCCCATCTCTACTAAAAATAGAAAGAAATTAATTGGCCAACTAAAAATATATAGAAAAAATTAGCTGGGCATGGTGGCACACGCATGCTTGTGGTCCCAGCTACCTAGGAGGCTAAGCCAGGAGGATCGCCTGAGCCTAGGAGTTTGAGGTTGCTGTGAGCTAGGATGATGCCTTGGCACTCTAGCCTGGGCAACAGAGTGAGACTCTTGTCTCAAAAAGTAAATGTGCTTTCAAATATACAACACAATGCTGATTTGGGGCAGGGAGCAAGGAAAGTATAAATCAGTGAGCATGAAAGAAAACTCACATGATTGAGACCAGGCCTCATTTGATCTGAAAATCAACTCATAAACTAATTCTATATGTTATGATATGCAGAGAAATTGTTAACTTGTCAAACAGCACAAGAGAAAAAATATATAAAAAGGATTGGGGTTGTCATAGTCCTGGATCTAAATAAACTGGCCCTCTGGAGTCTCAATCAGAAAGGATAACAATATCTGTTCTACTCCACGGGAGTAAAGCTCAAATGAGAGAATACATAAGAAGTTAAATGAGATAACAGATTATATATGGAAACACTTTGGAAGCTGAAAAGCACTATATAAAATATTAAAACAGCATTTTATGCATCAGTAGTTTTACGATATTAATAATAGGAATTTAAGTTTTAGAAGTTTTATACAAGGCACATTTAGTGGCCTTCAGTGTCTCTGAACTCTGAGTTTCATTAGCTTAGTTATTATCAATAATCACTAATTTTATAATATTTAGTTTTATCATACCTCACACAAAATATTCAACATTTTCATTGCTGAAACACCAATTCTACCTTTGCCATTCTAAATTATTTCCTTGAGATGTTAGTTTCAAACAAGTTTCATATAAGATATTTGTGTTTAGAATGATAAGATTTCTGATAATACAGCCACTGAAGTTTGTATACTGAAGTTCCTGTGTTAGGGAACAAAAAGGATACCTGAATTTAGATACCTGATCTGAGTGTAACTTTTTTCCTTAAGCTAACCAAATCCTCATGTTCAATGAATAACAATGTTTATAAATGCTACAGTACCTAGTAAGCCAATAAATGGCTATTCTGAATCAAGATACTTAATTAAAGGACTTTAGCATAGCCATATGAAAATGGCTCCATCAAAATGTTTTTGTGCATAATGATCATACCTCACCTTCCTCCACGTTCTTAACTCCACCTCAAGTAATGCCCACTTTACCCATTAGTTAATATTTGCACTGTTAAAGCTGGTTTATATTGCTCTCTAAATCACAACTGAGTTACTGTTTAAATGTATGGATTTGAATTAAAACTTCAGCTGATTTTAGTCCTGTTTCCCAAGTCACCTAATATTTTAAAAAAGTTTGATCATGAAACACAGTGTGTACATTTGAGAGTCTGTGTGAAATTTTTTCTTTTTTTTTTTTAGAGACAAGATCTTGCTGTATTGCTCAGGCTGGAATGCAGTGGTACAATAATAGCTCACTGCAGCCTCAAACTGTTTGTTGTTGTTGTTGTTGTTGTTGTTGTTTTTTGAGACAGAGTCTTACTCTGTTGCCCAGGCTAGAGTGCCGT